ATTTGGCATTTATTAAAGGTAGTCTTTTCTAAATGTTTAACTGTTTAATATTATAATGTTTACTTTTAAATGTTTTGATGTTTTGATGTGAGGTGCTTTTCAAGCATCTTTAAGCTTATCTCTTTCTAAATGACCAGTTCAGAAATACAGTTATTAGTCTCATGACAGTTTTTCTCACTGAGGGACTCAGTTCTATTACTTCGGCATTTGAAAGCACATGTGCGTCTTCTCAATGCTATGCCAGAGTCAGTGGCATCATTAGTTGTCTCTTGAGATGCTATTTAGCACACAGCACTGGTGTATTAGTGCCTTGTGCCATCTTGAAAACATTGCAGGAGCTGTTATGCCACATAAAGCACAGCCGCACAGAATTATCATGTTAATTTGAAGTTGTCTTGCGCATTTACAGGAAAGCTATTTAAAGACGTGCTTGGGTTTGTTATGTAATTAATGTTGTTCAGTGCACTGTGTGTCACTGGTTTGCTAACTGACACTGGTGCCCCTCGTCCTTCTCATGGCTACAAGGAAAAAATTAAGCAAGGAGGGCATCAAAAATTAAATTTTAGAGAGAAAGTGTCTGAATAAGAAATTTCTTTTTGCAAACTGGTAGTGAAATCTCTAGAATAGAATTAAAGGCAGTCAAACACAGTAGCATTAATCTCTTTTCTTCCTCTGCCACAAAGAAACAGTAACAAAATAGAAAAACCTGAGTAGAAACAGCACATGTCCTCTTGCACAACCACATGAATAATCAATGATGCAGTTCTGATCAATGTTATCCCTATAGAACTGGTGCCTAAACATCTCTTGCACATTTTATCTGTTCCATTACAGGACGTTTCATCTTCCAATGTCTTTGAAAACAAAATTTGCTAGAAGGTACAGGGTAAATGCACATAAAGATTAACACCCATGTGAGGAAAAAAAGAAGTATTTTTCCAGTTACAGATACATCGGGCAAAAATGTTTGTGTATAGCAAGTAATAACACTGTGTTGGAAAGTTAGAGATGAACAGAAAGGAAGAACTTTGTGTTCTGCAGTATTCCAGGATTATTAAACACATTTCGTGAGAAGTGTGGACCACCTGACTGATTCAACAGCCTTGCGAACCAGGCAGGTTTCCAGCCTGGTGAGCTGAGATGGATGTTAGGTGAATAAAAGATGGCAGAACTGGCCCCCTGCTTCTTGAAATGATGTGAATAGTATTTTGGTCCTCAAAAAATAGGAAATAAGTAAATATTTGTTATTCACATTTACATTTCTTTAAGGAAAAACTTTAAAGGTGTTTTTTACTGCTGAAATGGCATAAAATAATCTTGAGGCTTCCTTTAAGGAAAGGCAAAAATTCTCTTTGAGTATGAGAAAAATCTTCAGGAATTAAGAATCTGTCATAAAAAATAAGGATATAAGGAGACTAGAGAGAGTATGACCCTTCCAGCAATCTTTACCAACCAAATGAAATGTTATGAAAGTTCTTACATCAGTCTTCAGTATCTACTGGTTATTTTGTTTAGGGAAAGTAATGAGGATCTGGCTGTGATTTCCTTTCCTCTGCAGCTCTGAGAAGCATGCTCAAAGACTGTGAGGAAATAATTTCTGTATAACACTCAAATTTGACCTTTTTTTTTTTTTTCTTAAATCATTATAGCATGATACTTCAGGAATGTGGCCAGTCTTGAATTATTAGATGTGATAACAAAAAAAGGTCTTATAAAGTGTGACTTAGGGAAGTAATTGCCTCCTAAGAACTTAAGCAGTCATAGTGAAAAAGAAACAAGCACGCTTCAGGCAAAGGTAGATGCATCACTGTCCAGGCTTTCTTTTTGAAAAGTCCCATCTGCTCAGGTTTTTTTTTCTAAGACAAGAAATTATCTCAAATTCAAAGGTACCCTTTTTAGAACCTCACAAATGGAGGACAATGTATACTCCCGTTGCCCTCTTGTGCATTACAATGTCTCTAGGGTTCTTGCTGGGTAGAGTGAAATGAGCAACGTTATATAGGGGGAACTGTGGATCGGAAGGACCCTTCTTCCCTGTAAACTAATGGAGAGATGTGGGAAGGTTGGTTTGATTTTTATGTGTGTTGTTTTGGTTGAGAGGTCTTTGATTTGGTTCTGAAGTGCTTGAAGGTGAAGTCAAATGTTTTATCAGTCCGTGCTACCTCTACGATCTTCTCAGAAGACATTAAACGAGGTTCAGAGAAGGGAATTTCCTACTGACAGATAAGCACCAATTCCTGCATTTTTACATCAGCCCCACTTCAGTGGTGGGTGACTGATCTAATGAAGGATTGTTTCACCAGTAAGAGCTCAGCATAAGAGTTTGTCTTATTATGCAGTGTTCTCCTGGCATGAAAATTGTGCTTAAGATTACTTAGAATACTTTTAAATTACACCAGGTAAAATGAGGCAGTACATGGGAGTAGTCATTTTAATGACAAGAGTTCACAAAATTAATGCAGGTGGTTCTGTTAGAGCAAATAACTGAGGAATATTTTAATTCTGCAAGTAGATGTTACTTGTGGAACCTGTGGCTTCAGTACTGGCTGTGGGTGAATAGAGATGATTGATTTAATTTAACTCCATATACTTTTGTATATGGTGATCCAGGTTTTAGTCTTCTGCTGTTGACTGTCATTGCAAGAGGTCTGTTACATGAAAATGAGTATTACTGAAGAGAGGTGAGATGATAAAAGCTGTCTGTTTTTTTTTTAGTAAAGGAGTAATTCACCAAGAAGTAAACCAGAAGGCAGTTGGAAATGTAGTAAAAATTAAATTACTATTGAATATGGTGCTGCCAAACACATGGCTTTTCTCAGCTTTTAGGCATGTATTTGTGGGACTTTGTCACAGTTTGGCAGACAGCAATATAAGCTAGTAGTTTTTGCCAGGGTTAGAATTTGTAATACTGCTGTCTGAGAGTGTTGTGTTCACAGAAAGGCTTAGCTTGAAGGGAGCCGGGGTTTGACTGAAAGCACGGAGCTTTTGTGTAGTCGTAAAGCAGTGCCCTCGGCTTCAGCGCTAGAAGATGGGCTCTGTGAAGATGAATAAGACTGGGGGACTGAGCCTTGACTACTATGTCTCTTATGTTCACTGCTATAGTGTAGGTCTATCCGGCTATTTTTCTGCATGCTGCTTTTCCTATTTTAGTAGTTCTTGCGTTGTATTCTGTTCGTACTAACCTCAGTTTACTTTTATGTTAGTGTGGCAGTGTAGCTTTGAGCTTTTTTGTTCTTTTTGGTTTTCTTTGCTATTAAATAAGCAGGTAGTGAGTGTGAAGTGCAAGTGACTATTCTTGCTAATGGCTGAATAACTAAAATATAATAGTAATCCCTTGCTAAATAAATACTCCCTTTGCCTCTGTTAAATAAATAGAGGCCTTTGGTCTTCTACTTCAAAATCTGTACCTTAAAATGTTAATTTTAATTCCCTTTAGCGCCTTACAAAATGATGACATTAGCAACCTTGCTAAGGTCTTGACTATGCTATTAGCATAAGAAGCAGGAGAAAGCACAATGTATTCATGAAAATATATATTAACTCACTGGTAAATGATTTTTAGAGCCTTGTTCAATTATAGCATAACTCTGAAAGTTTGTCCCTGAAGAAGAAAATATAATTGCCAAACATATGTAGCTAATATCATTAGTCAAGGGCCATTTTCAGGAAGTGAAATACTGGTATGAGTTAAACCTCAAGAGGAGCCTGTGGTAAATCTACACTCATACATACAAAGCTTTTTGGTTCATCCCTTTCCAGGTTCTTACTGCCCACACTGCATAAAAGCCATTTTGCTCACCAGCAAATGAGCTATTTACATTCTGAGCTGAAACCTGTCTGTGATGTTGTTGTGTACTCCAGGGAACGTGTGTGACAGGCAGCATGAGTGGGACCAAGCCACATTTGGTGCCCTCCAAGCTCCTTCAGCTCACTCTGGAGCTCTGAAGTACACAAAATTCTCTACACATCCTCGTGCCACCCCAGGGCAAGATGCAATTCCAGTGTCACACCACAGAAGTGCAGCTGTGATGGGCTGGGACAGCCCTCACATCTGTATCAAAAAATGCAGAAAAATAATAAATGAGGCTTTTAGATCATAATCAAGAATTGAGCCAAGTTCTGTGCATGAGTTTTAGTAGCATAAGTGTAATGTTAGTAAAGGGCTAAACAAGCAAATCTTTGATATCTTCTGAACCTGAGGAGATAAAAAAAATAATTGGGAAGAACAAGATTGTGCTGTTTGCTTCGGACCATGACAGCCGGAGTTAAAACAGGAAGAATACCTCCCTTTTTGAAGTAAGGCCTATGCAAAAGCACTGAATTCTTGCCTCTGAGTATGATATCTGTTTGCTCTCTAATCCAGGTCTGTCCTTGGCAGTTTCAACATTATTTCTTTTCCTAAAGCTTGCTTGTGGTAACAGGCTTGAGACGAATATGAACCGATATGCGCCAAGGTCTATGCTACTGTAGCTACATATTTTTCTGTCCTAAACTAAAGCTTTAAATCAAATATCTGTATATCACAGTGCAGTGCAGATGAACTGGAATTATTTCACTGCTTTCTTTTCCATCTGAGCTCTGCTAAAACTGCTGTTGCTATAGCAAAGATCTCCTTGTGTTTCCTTTGTGGACACAGGCTGCAAACATATTTTTAACATTAATATACATCTCATTGAAATGCATTTTATTATAGTTCTTGCTGATTACTTATGCTTTATTATAAGATGAATTTTGTTTCCATAAGGTTCCATAAAAATCAGTGGTCTGTTAGTCATGATCTACACTGTGATAATAAAGACATGATGACCTCAACAGGGTTGTACTGGAATATAAGCCTTTTATTACTAACAGTAGAGAGACATATTGTAGGATGCATCCTCTATAAATGTCAGGATACCAAAACTTGTTAACTGTCCTTTAAAATAGATTTACACGCCTGCAATTAAAGAACAAAAAAGAATTTGCGTTCCTAACGTATTATGATATTGTCATTGATTTAGGCAGGACTAAGGACACTTCATGATATTGGCCCTGAAATACGCCGAGCTATATCCTGTGACTTGCAAGATGATGAACCAGAGGAAAACAATCCAGAGGAGGAGGAAGATGTTTATAAAGTAATGTCAGAACACAGCTACATGAATTGTGTTTTATCATATAATATGAGATTAAAGAATGAGTTTATCCCAGAATATGGATTTATAGTAATAATAATTTTTTAAATCGCAAATCAGCTCAATATAAATATTTTATAAATAAGTGTATTTTATATGAATCTGTAAAAATGTTATTAACAGGACACCTGCATCTCATCATAAATTTAGGACGCAGTTCCTGCAGGGTGATTCTCCTGCCCCTAACTCTTTCTTATTAATTCTTATTTTTTTCTTAGGCAAATCCTAAGAAAAGGTATGAACCTTGCCATCTCAAATTTTCATAGTAGCAAGGTTTAAACTGGAAGTGTCTCAACTTCTGCAGTAGTAAATAGGAAGAAGAGAATGAAATTCTATGCAGCCAAAACACAACAGACACAGAGCTGCGTATTGTAAAATGAGTGCCTGGAATTACACGGAAGTCACGTAAATATAAATGCCATTTCCAATTTCCTGTGAGGGATGTCAATAAGAATCAATCAGAAAAAAAGATTAGTTTTCCTCTTTTAGGCTATAGCTATTCAGTCTAATGGTGAACACGTACAGTTGGCTTTATTATCAGGAGCGACCTGCAAACTATTTGTCAGCCAGCAAGAAAACTTAGTTTTTCATAAGCATTTCAGAAGAAGCAGATGTAAAAGCTTGCTTCTGCAGAAATTCTGTTAGAAGCCCCGTAGCTTGCTGTTGTCTTTTGCCAAAAAGGAGGATGTGGTGCTGGAGACAGTGCCGTAGCTGCCATCAGTAGATGCATTTCTCTGCCAACCATCATTACCTCCTGTCTTCCCTAGATTGAGCTTCAAGACAGACTGCTGTCATCCAAGACCCACACCTGGCTAGACAGGGAGGCTACATAATCTGGGTCAGATGTAAAAGAGAGCTGCATGTCATAGTCATAACTTAGCACGTCATTCTCTCTTTCACCATCCATTACACTCTCAGGGCTGATAAAGAGTTACTACTCTTTCTTGTACCTCTGCAAGAAGAAAGAATGGAAGCACTGAAGCTGAATGTTACCTACTTGAGATATGCTTGCAAGCTGATGCATGGCACTCCATCCTGTCTGAGTGACGCCTGTTGCAAACCGATGCTCTGGGAGAACAGGAGAGAATTCCACCAAAGTGTTCTCAAAAATTACGGAGACACATCCCTTTCTCAGGAAGCTGGTGCATGTTCATGTATGCAAATCTAGGCTTCTCCTGCCTAATCAAATGTGGAGAAAGCTGGATGTCACATTTAGTTGTATGGAAAAAGAATAATGATCACGGCATAATGCTGATTTGACTCCAGAATACAAATATTGTCATTATCACAGTCACATCTCTACCACTTCAGGAGATCCCACCTGAAGCACCATAAAATTAGAAAGAAAAATCACAGATTATTTGAATTGCTACTTTTGTATGCATGTAGGAGAGAAAAGTAAGCTATCACTGTCAAAAATACGTT